CTCAATACGGATTTTCTTACAATTAACTTAATTTATTTATATAATTTACTTACCTAATTTATTATAANCATTGAGAAAATATTTATTGCAAGACTAATGTTATACTGATCAAATTTTAGAATCAAATTAAGAGGTCAAATGACATAGCAGTATATTATTGTCTCTATTGGGGCTCAAATGACATAACACAAAATAAAGATGCTCAAGCCAATTTTCATATCATTTGAGCTCTTAATTTGATCCTAATATTTAGTCAATATAGCTTTACTGTTATTACAATAATGATATCATGTCATCACCGTTATACAATGTAACCATTCAATTAGAAGACAACAAATATATGAAATGAATATCACTAATTCTATGTATTATTAATTAAATGTGATGTTTATTGATATTTTTAAAAATAGTGATACTTATTTTATCTATTTTTAATTTTTTTAGTTTGACGATGACACCACGTAATACGTTGTGTCACCGTTGAATTGAATAGTAGCACCACCACGTTGACTTTTGTGGGACCCACACCGCTCTCAGTCGAAATTCATGGCGACATGACATGTGTACTAAAAAAACTGAGCCTCTGCATGATAAGCAATTAGGGAGACCCTTCTCTAATTCTTACTTGCTAACTCTCCCCTCGTTAGTTAGTTCCGTTAGTGGATGCAGTCCGTACCAAAGAGTCAATTTAATAGCTCAATACGGATTTTCTTACAATTAACTTAATTTATTTATATAATTTACTTACCTAATTTATTATAATTATTAAATTAACAACGGAATTTATTAAATATTAAAACTTACCAACGGCTACATTGGATTTTGGTCATTAAATTAGGAAATGAAAGAAAATTCAAATTTTTACTTCAATTATGGGACACTCAAATTTTTAATGATTAATTTTATGATTTATTAAAGATCCAATGATTAAATTTTATTATTTTTTAAATTTGAGTTTGTCTTTTTTTAAATTTGAGTTTGTACTATTTTAAATTGACTTTTTTTTTATACTTTACACCTTAAAAGATTTAAAGTTTTTTTTATTTTACACTCTCAAATAATATTAAATTTTTCATATTACACTTTTTATGTATAAAAAATATTATAATGTGGTCCTTCTGTTAACTTCCATTATTTTTTTCTGTCAAAAGTCAACTTATTGACACTAACAAAAAAATTAATAAAATAGTCACATTACAATATTTTTGATACATTAAGAGTACAATGTAGAAAATTTAATATTTGAGGGTACAAAGTAAGAAATTTAAAATTTTTTAAGATATAAAATATAATTCATCCTTTTAAATTTGAGTTTGTGTGTATCAAATCAAGGATTTTAATCAAATCAAATTTGAGTAAAAATGTAAGCCAAAGTAAAAATATTTTCAATCCTTACTTAAATTTAAAAATTTGGGCAAAAACATACTAAAAATAAGCGAAGATTTAAATTTTTACTCAAATTAAGACAGATCTAAACCTTTAATTGTCACATTTCACCTTTATTGAAATTTAAATTTGTCTTCATTTAAATTTGAATTTATCTTCTTATAAAGTTAAGTTTAGTAGAACATCTCGTATTTTCTGCTCCCATCACCACCCACCCCATTGCTGAGAAATGAGAGTTCATGACTTCCAATTCTTTGGCATTTCTGGCATTAAGGGAACTTGGTTGAGAATCTACCAAAAGACTTCCTAGTGTTGGCATATTGATTCCTAGCGATTTGGAACATATAAATAAAANATTCAAATTTTTACTTCAATTATGGGAGACTCAAATTTTTAATGATTTATTAAAGACCCAATGATTAAATTTTATTATTTTTTAAATTTGAGTATGTCTTTTTTTAAATTTGAGTTTGTACTATTTTAAATTGACTTTTTTTTATACTTTACACCTTAAAAGATTTGAAGTTTTTTTATTTTACACTCTCAAATAATATTAAATTTTTCATATTACACTTTTTATGTATAAAAAATATTATAATGTGGTCCTTCTGTTAACTTCCGTTATTTTTTTCTGTCAAAAGTTAACTTATTGACACTAACAAAAAAATTAATAAAATAGTCACATTATAATATTTTTGATACATTAAGAATACAATGTAGAAAATTTAATATTTGAGGGTACAAAGTAAGAAATTTAAAATTTTTTAAGATATAAAATATAATTCATACTTTTAAATTTGAGTTTGTTTGTATCAAATCAAGGATTTTAATCAAATCAAATTTGAGTAAAAATGTAAGCCAAAGTAAAAATATTTTCAATCCTTACTTAAATTTAAAAATTTGGGCAAAAACATACTAAAAATAAGCGAAGATTTAAATTTTTACTCAAATTAAGACAGATCTAAACCTTTAATTGTCACATTTCACCTTTATTGAAATTTAAATTTGTCTTCATTTAAATTTGAATTTATCTTCTTATAAAGTTGAGTTTAGTAGAACATCTCGTATTTTCTGCTCCCATCACCACCCACCCCTTTGCTGAGAAATGAGAGTTCATGACTTCCAATTCTTTGGCATTTCTGGCATTAAGGGAACTTGGTTGAGAATCTACCAAAAGACTTCCTAGTGTTGGCATATTGATTCCTAGCGATTTGGAACATATAAATAAAATAAAAAATAAAATTAGGGAAAAGAACCTCATTTTGGGGATAAAAACCTCTATCGTCTCACTGTAAATGAAACCAGTCCTTCACTATAAAGTTTATTATAATATCTAACATATCATTTTCATTGATAATAGAACCTTTATATATAAGATCACAAAAATTACTTTAATTGTTTTTTTTTTTCTGCAGAGTGTATAAACTTGTGCCGATTACTCCATCGAGTTCAGATATTGATCACCGCAGCTTAAACGCGTTTAAAGCGTAACCCCTGAAAAACAAAAATGATTAACCCTTAAAGAATATGAAAAGTGTTGAATATGAGATTTTTGAATTACCAGAAATCAGACTCAACCATTTAACTATCTCCAAAGATCGTCCATAAATTAACTATTAACTACTTAAAAAAATAGACTACTTCTACCTCATTAATCCGATATTTTCTTGTCAAATTTTCAATGCCCCCACCACTAAAACAATCGCGATCTGAAACCTCTATTGTTGTATTCTATTTTCTTCATTAATTTCCTGGGAAATTTTGTAGTTTTTCTACACTTTTTTTCTTCATTTTTCTCGATCTGATCTTCTTTGTGCTCCCCTCCCTATTTTAAGATATATATATATATATATATATATATATTAGTTTAACGGTTAGGGTTGTTTGTACTGACTTACGTCAAAATTAAGCTATTCATGATTAATCTCCTATCCGATTCGGTTAACGGCATGTTGTGATTAAAGTATTTATGAGAGATAATTTTTTCATAGTCTGTCTCTAAAAAATTATCAAGATTTGAATTCAAAAGACGTCTGAGTTGAGGTTTTAAGGTATATATGGGTTAATAATATTTTTTGTCACTAAAATACAAATTTTTTGTCAATTTAGCCTTCATTGTATAAATTTTATCAATTTTGTCCGCAAAATATTCNTGAGATTTTTGAATTACCAGAAATCAGACTCAACCATTTAACTATCTCTAAAGATCGTCCATAAATTAACTATTAACTACTTAAAAAAATAGACTACTTCTACCTCATTTATCCGATATTTTCTTGTCAAATTTTCAATGCCCCACCACTAAAACAATCGCGATCTGAAACCTCTATTGTTGTATTCTGTTTTCTTCATTAATTTCCTGGGAAATTTTGTAGTTTTTCTACGCTTTTTTTCTTCATTTTTCTCAATCTGATCTTCTTTGTGCTCCCCTCCCTATTTTAAGATATATATATATATATATATATATATATATATATATTAGTTTAACGGTTAGGGTTGTTTGTACTGACTTACGTCAAAATTAAGCTATTCATGATTAATCTCCTATCCGATTCGGTTAACGGCATGTTGTGATTAAAGTATTTATGAGAGATAATTTTTTCATAGTCTGTCTCTAAAAAATTATCAAGATTTGAATTCAAAAGACGTCTGAGTTGAGGTTTTAAGGTATATATGGGTTAATAATATTTTTTGTCACTAAAATACAAATTTTTTGTCAATTTAGCCTTCATTGTATAAATTTTATCAATTTTGTCCGCAAAATATTCAATTTGTGTCATTTTAGTTCCTATCTAGATAGACCATTAAGTTTTTGACGGAATGATCATGTTTTAAGTACGTAATATCATCTAAAAATATGACAAGTGATCGCTTCTGTCAAAAAATTTAACAAATTATTTGATTAGAAATTAAAGTGATACAGATTAAATACTTTAAGGACTAAATTGTTACAATAAAGATTAACTGACAAAAAATATATATTTTAGATATCAAAAATGGTTTTAACCCTATANAATTTTTGACGGAATGATCATGTTTTAAGTACGTAATATCGTCTAAAAATATGACAAGTGGTCGCTTCTGTCAAAAAATTTAACAAATTATCTGATTAGAAATTAAAGTGATACGGATTAAATACTTTAAGGACTAAATTGTTACAATAAAGATTAACTGACAAAAAATATATATTTTAGATATCAAAAATGGTTTTAACCCTATATATATATATAGAAATTCACTGAGACCACGAAGTTTTCTATCCTTGAATTTCTGAGGAACACTCAATTTTCCCGAGAAAATCTCATATATATTTCTAATTTGTTTGTTTATTTTGTACCCACACCATTCATTCTAATTCCGTCACAGGTTGTACAGCAATTCTCTAATCATTCATTTTTTATTTTGGAATTTTTTTTCTTGGAATTTAAGAATCNAGAAATTCACTGAGACCACGAAGTTTTCTATCCTTGAATTTCTGAGGAACACTCAATTTTCCCGAGAAAATCTCATATATATTTCTAATTTGTTTGTTTATTTTGTACCCACACCATTCATTCTNATAGAAATTCACTGAGAACACGAAGTTTTCTATCCTTGAATTTCTGAGGAACACTCAATTTTCCCGAGAAAATCTCATATATATTTCTAATTTGTTTGTTTATTTTGTACCCACACCATTCATTCTAATTCCGTCACAGGTTGTACAGCAATTCTCTAATCATTCATTTTTTATTTTGGAATTTTTTTTCTTGGAATTTAAGAATCATTCTTGAAATTTTCCCAGAAAAAAATTTCACATTCTTGCTTCTTATTCATCCTCATCTCTTGTTTCTTCCATCTCGTAACAATTTTGTTGTAATTCACACTTTGTTTAAAATTCTCTCGAAATTTTCAGTAATTCATTGTGAATGGAGACCGGTGGTGGTGGAGGATTTGGTGATGGTAATAATCGTCGGCGGCTATCATTGAACGAAAGAACCAATTCATCGAACAATCTACGAGGCAAAGACACCACCGATGGCAACAACAACGGCGGCCGTCAAAACTTGACCTTAAACGCCGATAAAAAGCTGCTAAATCGGACACTTCTTGACATCATCCGTGATGACGACTCGACCGGAGACAAAGACCATAAGAAGAGCTGGAAACATTTCAGAGATACGCTCCGTCTCCGCCGTGCAGGAGTCGCTTGGGCCTCCTCCGTGTACATTCCGACTTCCGATGTTCCCGTTAAGCAAACTAATAATAGGATGATCACGCGGAGGCATTCGACTCGGATTATGAATACGAATGAACCTAGCTCAAATGAGTCGACTCACGAGTCAACTCAGCAAGAACTATCATCGGCAACTCATGCTGAATTCAATAGAGTTACGAGCAACAGAGCGATATCGTTGAGGCGTCACTCGAGTTTTATTCTAGAGAGACAAAATAGTCGATTGATTACTACAAATGAAGACAGCGTTCCTGAAGATGAAATAGATTTATCGGCGGAGGAGGTGGCGGGAGAGACGGAGGAGGAGGAGGAGATGACGATGGCGGAGAGGGAGGGAGAAAGGAGAGGGGAGGGGCGGGTGAGGATTTCATTGATGTCATTGTTGGCTGAGAGTGATAGGCAAATGGGATTGGAGGGTTTGGCGTATATGATTGATGACGATGAGGAAGAAGAGGGAGAGGATGGTGGTGGAGGGGAGTATAATAATTGTAGTGTGTGCATGGTGAGGCACAAGGGTGCAGCGTTTATACCATGTGGGCATACATTTTGCAGGCTGTGTTCGAGGGAGCTTTGGGTACAAAGGGGTAATTGCCCTGTTTGCAATGGGTTCATCTTGGAAATTCTTGATATTTTTTGATCAAAAAGATCATCTCTCAAGGCCCTCAACTTGCTTCTTTAGCTTGCCCCCTCTTTGAATGCATACAATTCCAGTGTGTAAATGACTAGCAGAAGTTCCATAAAAAGATGATATATGTTATTTTTCGTGCTTGTAGGTTTGGTTCTTAAAAAAATATATATCTATTAACAAATTTCGCCGTCATCTTTGTATTTTCTTGAAGTCTCCTTTGCAATTTCTCTTTTAGGTGGAACCTTGGTTTGTAAATAAGAAGTTCATTGCAAAACAGTGAGTGGTGATTTATTATGGTGCTTGGGTTCGACCCTGCTGCCCATGTTTAAAGTGTAGATATATATATTTGTTTTTCGGTATTATGGTCAGATGATGTCTAGAATTTTTTTTGGGTATCGCGGTTAAGGGTGTCTAGACTCTAGATCGGTTTAATGCGGGAAAGCAAAAACTATGTTTGCAACACTAACCTAATCTTGTATCCGATTTTTTTTTTTGGGAGGGGAAGTGGGGAGGTGAAGTACTCAAACTCATTCCAGATACGGTTCGATATTGCTTAATTAATCTATGGGGTATGGCCTTTGCATAACACAGTTCGGTTGACAGTATTTACATATGGCCTTTGTATAGAGTGGAGATCAATGAAATGTGACCTTCTGCTCATCTAGCCAGACTTGGAACAGAATCTATTGCACTGCTCAGGTCTTCCTATTCATCAATCTCCTTA